CTTACTTCTAACACTTTGTATTTAAAAACTTTTTTACTGTCTACGAAGAATATTTTAGATCTATTTTAACATTTAGTCCACTTTTATTCACTTGACAAATTTATTGAGCACCCACTCTGTGGCAGACAAGATCTTAACCAGTGGGGATAGAGAGGTGAAAAGCTAAAGCCCTGGCTTTATGGAATTACATTCACATAGCTTATATGGTTGTTTTTCAAATGGAAGAACTGAGGTGGAAAAATTTGAGTGGCTTTCCCAAGATGGCAACTAGTAAATACCAACTTGAAATTTTATCCAAAATTTTAAAAAAATTTATTGCTTGTTCCTAACAAATTCTTACGGTGAAGAACACTTTAAGTATGTGGCTTGAATATATTTTCATCTTTCTGTCATTTCACACGTCCTAGATGAGCTCTCTGTCCTCACAGAATCAGGGTGCTAGTGATTTTCTGAAAATTCCAGTCATATTTGCAGGAGTGCACCTCTGCTCAGCCTTTTTTTTTTTTTCCTTTTCTGCCTTCTGTCTGTCCCTGCAAGTCTTGACCATACTCCCCAACCTTACTCGAAATACTTCCATGGTTCTTCCTGCAACCCATGATGCATTTCTCTTTATTCTATTTTCTTGTCTCAGTCACTATCTTTATGTAGCCAAGTATAGACATCTATTGGTTATTGGAAATTCTGCTTCAAAACTTTGCAAATTAAAAACTTAATTGATTAAATCACAAATCTTAAAAAAAACAAAAACAAGAAATCAAAGTACCCGTTAGTAGTTCTTGTCTATGACTTTGCATCTATCAGTCGCCTTTCCTTAATCACATTGTCAACTAGTCGTGACCCCCTCTTCCTGTTATGCTGTGTCAAAATTAAAGAATGCCTGCTTATGTTTAGAGGCATCAAACTTTATGTAAAGCAAACATCTTTTTTATGAAAGGAATTTGGGTAAATAGGAATGCTTTTCGGAGATACATTTCCTTCTATCAGTGAGGATACTTACATCAGCCCCCAGCTTCCGCTTTTCTGCTGACTCTAAAATAGGTGCATTGTGTGTAAAAACACAGTGGGATGTGGAAACACCCACCTCTTACTTCCCCCGTCACCCTGAGAGAACTTGGGGAAAAAGAATTAGCGAGAACTATCTTCTCTTGAAAATGTGTCCTCTGAGTTGACATTAAAGAATGGTCTTCTCTGTGGGACCATTATAAAAACTTCCTCGTCTTTTTTTTTTGTTTCTTTTCTAGTTAAGGGGAGTCTAAAGGAAAGGATGGCACTCGATTTGATACCAGGCGTGGCTGTATTCGATACAGCGTTGTTTGCCCTTTCACATCTTTGCCTCGGTCCATGGGTGTTCCTTAAGTGTGTGCTTCGCGGATGAGTCAGTGCCACAGAAGAATCACGCCTCTGTAAGGTTTCAGAATGTAAATCGGAGAAGTGAGAGGCAAGCGGGACCTTTTCTCGGCTTGGTCTTTTCATGTTGTCCAAAATTCCCACCATGAATTAGAAGCCTACTTTTGAACTAAGGCTTTGATTTGTCAAAATTCTCATTGAACCATATATTCGGGACAAGTTTTCAATCTGTTATTTTATTAGTCTATTTATTATCTTCTCTTCTAATTTTGTTAAGGAAGAGGCTGAGCCTCAGAGTGTTGACACTCAGGATCTAAAACATTTCTAAATTGAATAGGGTTTGGCCGTGTTTACCAAAGTGTGGAAACATTCCATTTGTGGCACTGGAGATGATTTTAATATTAGGGAAGACCCAGATGGAGCATACACAATACTGAATTGCCCTGTGTGAACATTAGTTTCATTTCAGACTCTGTGACACTGTTTATCTCTGTTTTTGGCAAAGCACGGAGAGGCAAGTGTCCAGCAAATACTGATAGCATTGTTCTACGTCGACATTATTTTCATTTTTATGGTTACATGCCATTATTGCGAGTGATAACAGTAATCGGACATTTCCTTTCAAACTATTTTCTTTGAAAATAATGTAGTGTGTCGATTTAAGAAAAATATTACTTAAATCATAGTACGAGTTGCAGGGGGATGTGGCAGAGATTAATTATGTGGGTGACATGAGAAGACTGATATTTGGGGACTGCTCGGGTAGGGAAATGAATGAGAAACGCCATTGCCAAACGCCTCATCTAGAGAAACGGGCCACAGGAGGTCACCCACGGCAGGGTGATGATGGTCTCCAGGGGGATGCAGAGTTGGAGGCTGTGTCGGAAGCCTAGTAGGAAAGGGGAAGGAAGAACACTTACGTGGCTAATAATGTGGATCACATCCCGGGTGTCTCTTCTCTCCAAAGTGGCAGTGTAGCAAAGGCCAGCTTTTCCCAAACTCATGTTTTTCCTCTCAGAGAAGGTAAGAGGTCCTCCTCTGGAGGGGAGGAATGACCGCCATATTCTACTACAGAACAATTGCTTGTTATGTGTATGTCGCTCAGTCTCGCTTGCTCCTGGGTTGCTATTGTCACCACGGCCTGATGAAAATGCTCTTCTGGAAAAACATCCGTTCAGAGAGAACTCAGACTCTCCAGCCAAACAACATAATACTGTTTGTGAATATAAACCACCTATTCCACTTTCCTCTTTAATCTTGTTTTTCTCCGTTTTTACGACAGCCGAATCGGCGTACACTCGATTGGTTTATTCTCATATTTGTGCGTATGAATTTTCCTAGGAGGGCTGCATTAGAAATAGTCTATTAGTTAGCACGATCACATTGTTAACGCCTGGCCTGAAATTGTCGGAGCTCTTCGGGTGAGCGCGGATTGCCTTGGAACAGGCTCAGGGGCGCTGCTGCTCTAACTTCTAAAATGGAAATCAGATTCATTTCCCACATGTTAAGCGATAACCCAACTAGAGAGGAACCGTCTTAGTTAATCAGGGCACTCCAAGGGCCACCAGGCAATTTTTTTTCCGAGAAATCTGTTGATTATCAGGATCTGACCCAGACCATTGCCGAGAGAAAGTTCATTTTACAACTTTATGATTTTCCTCCCTTCTGCTTTCTTTCTAACAGCCTCGCTTTTCTATTTCATTTCCCAATCCTAAACATCAGAGTTTAAAGAGCCCCTTTTTATGAAGTGTATGCTAAAGTGCTCTGTTAGGCAATATATTTATTACCTGGAGTGAAATGGCTTTTCACAGCTAGGCAGGCTTCTTAGCCTCCTTGCTACCTCTATATTTATGAAAGTCACTCCTTGCATTTTGCTGGGCAATGGCTCTGTGTCAACCAGTAAAGAAAGAGAAAAAGAGTGTGTGTGTGTGTGTGTGTATGTTTGTGTGTGTGTGTGCGCACGTGTGTGTGTGTGTGTGTGCATGTGCTGGGGGGAGGCAGCTGTAATACAGCTAATGAGCACATTTCCGTTTTTCATTTTCTTCAGATGTTCAGCGGCTTCCATATGTCTGCTGCATGCAGCTCAATCCAGTTTGGCATTGCTAACCTTGGGGTTGCCTTTGATGGAGGACATGTGTATCCACTGTATCTTTCACTTGTGTTTATGCCTGGGATCCAATCTGGAATTGTTTTGGAAGAGAGAGGGAGAGAGAGAGGAGGATATAGGGAAGTCCGTATGGGTGTGACCATCTCGAGGCACCCTTAACAGAGATGCTGGGCTGTCAAATGACCACCTCCAAGAGATGCTCCTTGCTGGTACAGGAATGGCTTCGGCTGGAAGATTCCCTGTGCGATTATGGATTATGGTGTGTCTGAGCTTTCCTTGCCATCAGTACACTTGTCAGATATGGTCAAGTGGGTTGAAGTCAGCCCTGCTCCATTTTCAGTGACAATTTATTTTACTTTTTCCCTTTTTTCTTCTGAGTGAGGGTTGCGCGTGCGTGCGTGTGTGTGTGTGTGTGTGTGTGTGTGTGTGTGTGTGTTGAGCAGTAGAAAGACCCGACACTACGTTATCGTTCCACAGTGGCCATATTTTTACTTTGTTACATATTTTCACAGTTTGGGAACAAGAAAGAATATACATTCAATTTAGGAAGACTCCTAATTTCTGGTTCTACAGACCAGCTTCATTAGAGAAGATTGCAGATTTCATGACCGCTTCGTCTTTTCCCGGGAGATGCCACATTTGTGCCATTGTCAGTCACAGTGCAGCCTGATAACAGCTGGCTGGAGACGTGGCTACTACAGTGGAAAAGCAAGCATGTGGCAGCCTGCTTTGATAAATCTCAAAGGTGTTCCTCCCTCTCCCCCTGACCTGGGTAATGCATCCAGCAGAGGACTGCTTTTGTATCTTTCTACACGGAAAGAAGAAAGTTTGCTACTCGGCAGGCAGAAGCAATATTTCAGCTCTTGTAAAATCGTTGCAAAACCCCGTATGTGTCCAGGGAGACCATCATTGCTTTATTTGTGTTCTTCATTATTTGCATGGTTGTGTTCAAACTGGAAACTTTCGCTGTAATTAAGCAGGACTTTCATTTATATTGGAAAGTATGTAAGTTCATGGCATTCCCTCTAGTACCCTTGGAAGAGTTGCAAATTCTCTTGCTTGTGTCAAATTAATGACCAGTAAGATGACACTCAATACTTTGGAGGGTAGGATGGGATGCAGTTTCACTGTGCTTGAAAGGAAATCTTCTAAAGGCTTTCATGGCTTGCAAAAAAAACAACAAAACAAACAAATAAACAAACAAAAACAAAGCAGATAGCATTCTCTATACCTACACCATTTTGTGAGAAATGACAATAGGTGCTGTGGAGGTGACACTGTAGACCTATGGACTTACTAGGTTTTTACTTCAGAGGTTATGTTCCTAAGACAGATTATATACAAAATAATATTGGAGAGTACCATAAAAATGGTATGGTATGCTTTTCTACTGGGGAAGAGTGAAATAGGAATTGGAAGGAAGACAAAACAATAATTCTTAACACTTTTCTTAAGAAAAATAAAATTATAGGCTGATGCTGCTAAAATTTTTTTTTTTTTTTTTCCTCTAAAGCAAACTGTCTTTTGTTTTCATTTTTCCCAATAGCACCATCATCCATTGCTTTGGTCCAGGCTAAAGAAGTTACCAGATACAGTGTTGCTCTGGCTTGGCTGGAACCAGATCGGCCCAATGGGGTAATCCTGGAGTACGAAGTCAAGTATTATGAGAAGGTATTACTTGAATGAGCAAGTTCTTCCTTCCTTTCCTTTTTTTTTTTCATTTTCATTTTCTTTCTTTCTTTTTCTCCCTCTCGCTCTCTCCTTCCTTCATGTCTTTAGTCTTTGGCCAGTTATAAATCCTGGAGTACCAGTGAATCTCAAAGCCAAATGCGTTTTGCTTCCTAATCAAAATCAATTATGAATTTTATGTATTAAGTTGGTTATCTTGAAAAACAGGAAAAACACATTGTGTTCTAATATAACCATATTTTTTTCTTTCTAGTAATGGAAATCAAGATAGCTAGTTCTAATCTAGAAACCTATCAGGAGAGTGACTCATAAATGTCGAAATAGTGATCTGTTTAAGCAGATCATTGCCATTCAGGATCAAGGTGTGGCTGGCTTTTGATGACTATTAATAGAAAATCAGGAAAGGAGAATTATGTTCTTTAGCCTCTTAAACGAAGACATTATTTTTACAAATAAGTTGTCTGTCTTAAAGGACCGAATTCTGAAAAAAGTTATTTGCATTCCTCGTTGTCTAGAAAAAGAGCAATTGTCTTTTCTTCCTTTTTAAAAGATATCACTTATTGGTTTTCTTATTAAAAGCAGAAAAGGAACAGGATTTTTTTTTTCAGGATTTTTTTTCCCCATCGAAACCAGATTACAACATTTTGATATTTTCTAGATAGAAAGTAGAAAGAGAAAGGGACTTTCTTACAATTATTTCTGTTAAATTGCTGGGTGTAGAGTGAGAAAAGCCACCATCCATAACTAATGTTCTTTTCAAAAAAGATTATGAGTAAGGATCTGGATATTTTCAGTGTCAATAATGATCATACATGAACTTTGCATTTCTTTCAACATCGAACAAATAAAGTACTTCTACCATTGAAGAGAACATAGGGTTCGAAGATCTATCCATCTCCATTTTCTTTCAACTTCTGACGAGACTGGCTTGGCTCCTTTAATATTGTGCCTAGAATACGTGGAGGATTTGTTTTACCATCTTCCTCTATTTCATCTTCCCATAATGTAGGATCAGAATGAGCGAAGCTATCGGATTGTGCGCACAGCTGCCAGGAACACGGATATCAAAGGTCTGAACCCTCTGACTTCCTATGTTTTCCATGTCCGGGCCAGGACAGCCGCTGGTTATGGGGACTTCAGTGAGCCCCTGGAGGTGACAACCAACACAGGTAACAAGTTCTGAGTGTACTTTTACCATCCAGGGCAAATCCCATTAAAGTGAGATTCAAGGAGCTGTACTTAAATTTTTGGTTAGACAAACATTTCGTTGCAATGAATATTGTTTGCAATTAGCCAATGTCTGTGACTTAGAAAACTTCATACTATTTAGAAAAGAGTATTTTGCTGTTATATTATCTGACCTGTCTTTTCATGTGATGGAAAAATGTTGTCTTTTAAAAAAAATGAAGAAGAAAAATGTCATCTATTTTCCTCTTGTTTTCAGCATTCTATAAACCATGAAAAATGAGATTGCTAAAGCAATTCAGAATTGCATAGCTACCTTACATTAAGATAGGGAGCTTCTACCTGGGAAGATTACAGAAGAGGTCAATTTGTTTTCCCTTTCCTATTTATTTCTAGGAATCTTTAAAAATCATGTCAGACTAGTTTTTTAAAAAATTCCTTTGGATGATTATATCAACTCTTTCACATTGTGAGTTGGACCAATTGGTTGATTGAATCATAAATGTTAACGGGCCATATCCATTAATAAGTTACATAAGGTATCTCCACCTCCATAATTAACAAACCAAAACTGAGCCTACTTAGTGAGGACATGATGGAGCAGAATTTTCAACATCAGTTCTAGAAGATAATTTTATTCACAAATTAATAAATAAGAATTAAAAAAAGCAGAAGAGAAAGTATTCCAGAATTGAATCTGAAGAAGTTTGACATCCTTTGGGATTATCCTGGAAGGCTTCAAGGAAGAAGTGGCTTTTGATTGGGACAATATAATAGGCAGGTTTTTGATATATTTGGAAAGGGTGGGAAAGAGAGAGGCACATTCAGAACTGCTGTCCTTTCTCAGTAAGGAATATATCAGATTGTTATGTAAGTGTGAGGGCTGTGAGTAAAAAGACAAAGAACGGAAAAAAAAAACGATGAGTGTGTTTACTATAGGATTTAATAAGAATCTTCTGGTTGAGCTTCTACGTACAATTATAAAAAGAATGCCTTTGTCTCACTAAGGCTATCTTAGACGAAGCCCTGAACATTCTGAACGGCTGGTGGCCCAGTCAGAAGTTCTAACTTTTAGGGCCTTCCCAGCGGTGACCCTCGTGTAACTGTCTTTGCTAGTGCCTTCCCGGATCATCGGCGATGGGGCCAACTCCACAGTCCTTCTGGTGTCCGTCTCAGGCAGTGTGGTGCTCGTGGTCATTCTCATCGCGGCTTTTGTCATCAGCAGGAGGTAAGCACTTAAGCCACTCACTGCACCCTCCTCCCTTCCCAGTTTTTATGAGGGAGCTTTTTGTCTCCTCCACACAAAGCTGAAGCTTTTGATTAGCATTATAAACACGGCATTTGCATCGCAAGCCCCCTTCTCTTCTCTTTGATCTCCCTGTACCCCTCCGAGAGCTGCAGACTGTACCCTGGTGGCAGCTCAAAGCTGAAGCCTGGAGAGACCCAACTCATTCCAGGAAACCTAGCTGAAAGGCAAGCCAGTGGGAGATTTCTAGATACTCTAAGCTATAAGGTGTTACATTTATATGTCTCCTAAGCTTGGACTTACTGCCAAAGGCGTGCGCACACGGAATAGCCATATAAATCTTGGACCCCCACATTTGAGCTCTGCCATTTGTCAGACGTATTACTGAAACTCTTCTTTGGATCTATCTTTGTTTCCCTTTGATAACATAGGGATAATAATATCTGCCTCAAGGTGTTATCGACAGGATAATTTTGATAGGCAAAGTAGATAATACGGCACACGATAGGTGCTTTGACAGGATACTGGTTAACAGTAATGGGGACCAGAACAGAGAAATGGCCCTGCACTCAGTCTCCCCTCAGGAAAGGCTGCCATCACTTCCAGAGAATGTCACTGAGCACATCGTGGGAGTGGCACTGCTCTCGGGAATAAATCTAAGCCAGCAGACGACTTATTCTGTGCGAGTGTACAGTCTAACTTGATACTTGAAAAACAATCTGGAAAAGAAAGAGAGAAATGAAAATCGTTTGGCAGCATATTTGTTTGAACCAGTTTTGCTTATCATTGTTGCTTCCATCTATTTGTTAACACTGCCTGGAGCCTCTGGAGGATTGGGGGCGGGAGGGGGTGGCTGTGCTTGTGTACCCACATCTAGGCCTTCTTTGTCTCTTGTGAGAGAGTCTGCCTTTTTTGTCTGATCTTCGCCCCCTAGTCCATCAACTATTTCACCAGGCGAAGCTTTTGGCGAACAACAACAACAAATAACAGAACCTGAGGATGTCAAAATTAAGCTCTTCAATATAAACCTTTTCTTGTTATAGCAGAGGAATATGATACTCAGATATAGCACCTGTTCAGGGTATTACACTGCCCTAGTGGCAGAGCTTTTAAAGGGCCCCAGTAGCCATGCTTGGCCCTCAAGCCACTGTTGCATTGTCTCTCTCTGCCTCTCCTGTGGGTGATATCACTGATGTCATTAAACACGTCTAGCTATTTACACTGTCCTAGACAAGCCACCATGCCTTCCCCTCACTCGTGGCATATTCTAACTAAGGGTGAAGACCATGTAGCTTACTTTGCCTGGATATGCTCCCACTTGTCACACGTATTTATTAATATCATGTCTGCTAAGGGTGAAGACCATGTAGCTTACTTGGATATGGGACCTGGATATGGTCCCACTTGTCACACGTATTTATTAATATCATGTCTCCACCCTCATTCTCCAAGATGCCCTATTATATAGAGATCTATTACGGTCACTCTAACATGGTATGGACCAACTCCTCATTCTGTGTGGGCACCTACATTTGTCACCATGTAGCTCTTTTTGGTGCACAGTCTATAACTAGGTGTGTTTGATTAGAACAGTTCGAGTTCCATCTCGAAGAAGTTAAAGCTGCCACAAACTCTCATCCCCGTCACTGTAATACACACACACAACACACACATAGACATGTCTGTTGCACCCTGTGTAATGGTATATCTCGGCTTTTGGAAACTTCAACTGCTGTGAACAGAATTTGAATTCCCAGTGTTCTTTTCTTCCAGGGATTGATTTTGGAAGTTAATCAAACTTCCCTTGTGATTCGATTTTGTGTGTGTGTATCTGCCAGGCACATAAACACATGGGGAACTGTATGCGTTAATATGTATCCATTCGACAACAGGAAACAGGGACTGAGATGGGGGGTGGGGGTAGGAATTGCATGAGTTTTTGCTCTTATTATTATATATTCCTACATTTGAAAAATTTCCAGTGTATATAACTTTCGTTATCAGAAAATATAGATGTTTAAGTCTTAAAATAGAAAAAAAAATATTTAATAACCTTAAACTTGAAATCCAGTGCCATGGGATGCTCAGAACCATGTGAGAGAACACTTGTTTGCAGAAAATGAGTCTGGTCTTATGTCTTGACTTTCTCTTTGATATTAACTGAAAGCATTTTTTAGTTGTGGTCCAGCTTTCCTTTAGATTTATTGATTTATTTTTTTCATATTAAGTTGCCCTGAATATAGCAGTCGAACTGGAGTAATTACAAATAAGTCACCTCATTATAAGTTTCTCTTCGATGTTCTGCTTTGACGAAAGGAAAGGAAAATGTGGTACAGGAAGACAAATTTATTAAAAGCTGTAGCTCTAGAAAATAGCATTCCAAGCTTGATGGCTTAATTTCCTTTCTGATTTTATTGATCGCTTTATTATTTAAGGCAGGGTTGATAACAGGATGCATCGGATTTCCAATTATGAGTCCCCACCTTAGAGAACTGAGCCTGTCAAGTTACCCAGCAATGATTACTGTCCCTTCTTCCCCATTAAAAAAAAAATGTCACTTCCCAAGGCTGATAAACACTGCTTGGTGATTGGTCCTCAATGGATCACTTTTTAGAAAATGAAATGTCAACCCCTTGCCCTCCTATTGATTCTGCTTTAGTGTCGGCCATAAAGCTGTCATGGGAAAGGCTTCCTGGAGCCAGGTAGCTGACAGGCTTTTCCGTGGCTGATGCACACTCAGCTGATTCTTCTCCACACGCAGGCCGTGGGCTCTGTCATGTTCAACTGCAAATGCTTAAATGGGACAAGAACAGGTGAAGAGAGAGGAGACAGGTAGTGCAGATAAAAGTCTGGCCCGTGCTACAAATAAAAGGTGGTAAATGGTATCCCCAAAATAATCTTGCCACACTGCAGCCAGCAGTCTGGGAAAGCAACAGATGAGTCCCCTTAGCCTGGAAAGTGAGGGGGCTGCATCTCTCTTCTTAGAGCCACAGAATGTCGGTGGCAGGGTAGATGCTAGAGACAGCTCTCCCTCTGGCTGAACCCCACACTGCTGATACCATGGGAGATTGTTAAGAGGTAGAGGGTCTGGAACCCACACAGTCAGAAAAGTTTCAATCCATCTGATTCCCTCAAAGAGAAAGTCTGTTTAGTGCTAATTTGTCATTTAAGCAAGAGGAAACAGCCTCAGGCTCACAGCTGTTATCTTTGCTAGATTTTTTTAATAGTAATTGTGTCATTTATTTCATTACATTTACTTTATACTAAGAAGCCTGAGCTGTAGACAAGCCAGAGTAATCTTCGATTTTTTTCAATGGGAAGATCCACCTTTTTCTATTGGCCAACTTAGATCTTAGAAACATTTACGGATTTTAGTGAAAGAGCCAAACTACTAAGTTTATAAAGTTTATATATTTAAATTCATAAGTACGTTGACTAGATATACAGTACGTTTTACCACCCATGTTATGTTAAACTTACATTTTTATTGGCATATTTGATCGGTGTTTTCCTCATCACTTGAGTTATGATTTAAGGATTTTGTCAGATTTTCAGAGAACACAGTTGTACTTGCTAACCGGGCTGTTTAAGGCGCAGCGCTTCTTGTATCTATGTGATGCTGTCCCTAAAAGTTTTATCTCAAACCACATATGTTCCTTCTCTTAGCACAGCATCTCTTCCTCATTTTCCTCTAGGTATATATTAGTAAACTTTACAGTATAACCATTTTATTGCTTTTTGAAGTGGTATTTGAAAAGATTATTAACAGCGGCATCATCACATGCAATGATAAGGTCATACATAACCTTCCGGGACTGATGATCAAATATGTTAAATTTCTCTGACCACCCTGCCCTTATATTAACGATTTCACTGGGTTACCTCCAGAAGCATCCCAAATAATTTTCATTCAGGTTGCTTTAGGCTATTGTGTCTTCCCCAAATAGTACCTTATTGTTACGTATGAAAAACACTTTTAAGAAAGAACTAGAACACAAGCTAACTCATTACTAACACAGTTTGGTGATCAGAGACAAATATTGCCTGATAACTATGCCTAGGATACTAACCTTCTATGATTGCTGACGATCCTGAGTTTCCCTTTATTGTTAGGGTTAAAAAGTACCCCTTTTCTCTGAATTAAGAAAAATCAGTGAATTGACTGAGAAAAAAATGAAGTGTCTGTGGGCAGAATTTGTGAGGGAGCTAAACCGATGGCTCCGGTTTAGAAAACCGAGTAATTTTAATACTAGCATCATTGTACGTTAGGAACTTGAAGACCGAAGAGGAGGTTAAACAATTAACTAAACCAAGATCACACAGCTAGTTAGTTGCCTGATCAGGACAGGAGCCCTTCTCTCCTGATTTTCAGTACTGGCATAGATAATTTTAATGACTTCTTAATGGAGAATTTGACCTACATAAGAAGCTAACATGGACAGTTGTAATCTGTGAATTACTGTGCAGGTCTAATGTGTTATGTAAAGCCAGACACTGCAAGTTGTTTTTGTCTTCTCGGGAAGATTAAGATTTTCCACTTTAGGGCTAACTGTTCAGGTAATGGTCAAACGGTTACCATTCGGTCTGTATCTGTCTTCTCTGGTGTCCTCATTGGAATATTATCATCATCTAAGAAGGAATACATGTAAACGGTGGCCTAACTTAGCTCTGATGAAGTCATGTAAATTCATACATTTATGGGGGACAGATGGTATGCTGGGAACATTTTCTCAGCAATTTGCATGCAATCGTACGGTTTCATTCCAACCATTTCGAAATGTTGCTCATGAAGAACATTTAGAAATAATTTGGTGCAAGAACAATGACAGCTTAAGGAAGGGGAAAAAGAAAGATGGCTTCTATGAATCGTCACTGGGCGCAGGAAGGGGACCTTCTGGGGCTGGGCTAGTTATTACTTTGCTTTATCTTCTTTAATCTGCACTTTAACTGAATAAATTACTTACCTTTTACTAATTAGTTTTGGAGCAGTGAACCACATCAATCAAATCCATCCGCTTGGTCAGGGAAGTTAGTATTTTATGAAAAGCGGGGTTTACGCTGGGCGCCTGCTGCATTCCCCCTTCGCTATTTTGTTTGTTTTAGTGAATAGTCAGGGTGCCAGGAACAACACATCGGTTGGGAGGGCCTTGATGAGAGCCCACGCTGTTCCTCAACAATGGCTGTTAATACCCTTATCACGCCTCCCCTTGACAGAGGGAGGGCTTAGCTCACAGGCTTTCAAAAGTTTCACCTGCAGAGGAGAGACCCTTTTATCTAACTCCTGCATCGAAAAGTCCCATGTTTCCTTCTGGAGCATTCACTAGCCAACCACTCCCACCTTACCCTTTTTTAATCAGCTTGCCCACATCTCAACAATTAGAAAATCTTCAACAAAGGTTTCCTTCTGCCATTCAGGTGATCTGCCTCGGATGACAATTTGAAGTTAGCACTTCTTTGGGCTGTGTGGTTTCCTCCGGGGCTGGCTGACCCAATAATACGCTTCAATGAGTTTTCTTTCTTGAGGCAATAATAGACACGTTGTCTTACCCTGAGACAAGGAGGAAGGGTCATCAGGTGACAAAGGTAGGGCAGGACTCAGGCATTTTAGTTTTCAAGGTATTATTAAAAAGCTAATAGGCTACAATTAGCCTTTGAACAGTAATCCTTGTGTTTCTTTTTCATCATTCCCTGTATTCTCTTGGGGTCCCCTTCTCCAGATCACACTCCAAAGTAAAGAAGTTTCCTGAAAGATACACCTTCACCTCTAATTTAACTCCTCTATGTTCAAAAATCTGAGGAAGGGACTGGGCATGGCAGCCTGACATGAATGATCCCTGCCAGTTTGCATTTCCTCTGGCTTTATGCACATTTAATGAATATGCTTGAGGCTGTTCTGCTCGTTTCTATTGGTATATGCCAGAGTTTTGAATGAACTCACTGGCAATTGAAAGTTGGTACTAAAGCTGTCCTGCTCTATGCATTTTTTTTTCCTTCTTTAAAGGAAAGAAATTCAAATCAGTATTGGAGATCTAAAGTGGTTTAAAAGATATACTTGTAATTTTAGATAACGCTTTTAGGAGCTCTGATAAGATATAATCTCTCAGGCTGGTAGGACCCTGTCACACCCTTGGGACCTAGCCATGAGTTTCCCTGACATAAAATGTTGTTTTTATAGCGCCTGACCTAACACTCTTATAATTTCCTTTAAAAGGGGGAAGCGGTGGGAAGATTAAGGCTGGGGGGCAGGGGGAACACTGTATCTTTCATAGAAATACTTGGTATCAGGATATTTAAACCTATTTAGTTTCTTCAATGAAGCAGTGGATTTTGAGAGCAGCGAAATACAATTTAAGTGGCTTTACTGATATAAAATGTAAAATTACTTATAATGTACTCTCATACCAGTACATAACTTCATCTCCACTGAGAGGCGTGTGACGTGTGAGCCAGATCAGGGCAGACACCTCTTGCTGAGCGGGTCGTGGGTAAATCACTTTGCCTGCTGCCTCCATGTCTTCATCTGTATAGTGGTACTGACTGCGTGTCTGTCTACTTGATTGCTTTCATAGGGTTGTTGTGAAGATGCAATTCAGTAATAGACATGAAGGCTCTTCAAAAAGTTGAACGCAAAGCAAGAAGGAAGGCAAGCTATCATTTGGGACTGAATTACATGCACTTTGCAGTTAACTAGTAACTGGGTCTCTGTTTACTAAGCTGGTTCCTGCTTGGCAAACAGTTAGGGGAGGAAATAATATATGTGATGAGAACACTTTGAAAAGTTAAATGCAGTGTAAAAATGCAAGGTATTATTATTTGCAAGGGAATTATGCCCATGGAGGCACATCTGTAGGCTCCGAGGGTCTGATTTTGGAGCTGGTTCCTGCGCTGCTGACAATGAAGAGAGGAATGTGGGTGAGAAGCTTGGGACACGTGACCGCGATGGGGCTGCGCCTCTCCTCACAGTGGCTGCCCTGTAGATTCTTCGCTGTTCTCTCTTCTACGTGATGGTCTGCCCTTCTCCACTTGTTCACAGTCAGGGGTTCAGTTACCAGATTCTGACAGGACCGCACTGCCGAGACGCAACGTGGCCGTCAGGGAAACTTTTGTCACCTCAGAGCCTCAGTTTCTCCATATATGAGTCTTGACTTATCTCTTGTTTAAAGCTCTGAGAAAATACAAGATGATTATTAACTACAATGTCAACTTTACATTTTCGACAGAAGCATATTTTATTCACTGATTTGGCATCATCTTCCAAAACTGCAATCTTCCAGAGCCGCCATATCAACTAAGTTGATTTTCTGATTTATTTAAGTGATATTTACATATACATATACATATATATGTAATGTATCCATATCACTGATTCAAGATTTATATATAGTCAAGATTTCTGATTCCCAAAACTTTATAACAAAGCCAGATCGCATTTCTAGAGGACATTTAGAGTGGAATGCCAACTGTAAAGACTATACACCATTTTTGGGAAAGAGAATTAAGCTAAAAATGGAAACTTCTCATTTTCACTTCTTGCAAATTTTCTACAAACTGTTAGGGATTGTAATCCAGTACAAAGCAAATATTTACCTTTGAAAATTTTACTAATAATTGAGGATTTTGTATGTAGCAACTGAAACCAATAACCATAAAACTATTGTTTAAAAAATAACACATAGTCAGATAATGAGTTACCTACCACATACGGAACATTATTGGCATTAGATTTATGCAGAATTCACCCATGGAAATTTATTTTAGTTCAGAATACATATGGGAAAATTAGCCAACAAATTTGTAATCTATCTTCAATGATATAAATATCTCCCGAGGATTCAAAATTATAATTTTATTTTAAAATATTTTCTTTGTCATCTCAGTTTAATACAGTGGTTAATAACAGAGACTCTGCACTCTGACTGCTTGCGTTTGAAACCATTACTCACTTCCAAGATGACTAGCTATTCACCTTGTTAGTTCACCTGCCATAAACCTCAGTTTTCTCATCTGTGAAGTGTGTATAATGTGTCTGCCTGACGTACTGTGGTAGCAAAAAACTTATAGCCTTCAGCTTTTGAAAATAATTTTCTTTTTTTATCTCTTTCTTTTCTTTTCTTTTATAATTTTGAATAGACGGAGTAAATACAGTAAAGCCAAACAAGAAGCAGATGAAGAGAAACATTTGAATCAAGGTACAAAAAGCTGGATTAAAAATAATTGTATTTTAAAAGCATATCTCCCATTTTCGGTTCAGAAGTATCTAAATAATATTCACATGACTATTTCTATTATGTTCCTTTCATGGAATTATCCAAATAATGTACTGCAGAGCATCAAACTGAAACAGGTGATTGGGGATTGTTAAAAGTGAGGTTAAAGAGGAAGATTGAGGAAATGCCTTTAGATTCTATTCCCCCACCTTCTTTTATCTTCCGCCCTGGAAAGGTATTGGTCAAGCTGGCTTATTTTTGTAGCCGTGTGGCAAGATTTAACAGGGAACAATTTTTCTCAATTGGAAGGTTAATTTTTTGGAGAAAGAAGCATAAGAAATTGAAGAGTAATTACTAAACCTCAAGGAATATGCTGTAGAACTCAGGACCACCAATATTTTTTTTAGTGGATTCTAGTCATTTTTAGGTTCCAAGTAGGTCAAATAATACATTTGAACAGTTGGCTCCAGAAGGATGTGAGCAAGAGAGAAGAGTCTTAAATGGACAGTGGTTGATGATTTTCCAGGAACACTGTTTGGTAGAATTTTCGGAGTTGATGGCACACTGTTCTACATCTACATCCAATACTAGCCAATAGCCACAGATACTATTAAATGCTCAAAAAGTGGCTCCTGTGAATGAAGAAGTGAATTTTAAATTCTACTTAATTCTAACTGATTTACATTTAAATAGCAACATGTGGCTAATGGGTGCTCCAGTAGTGCAAGGAGGTAGAAGGAAGAGAGAGACCAGGGATAGGAAGAATAATCTTGAGAAAGATTTTCTTGGCTAGAGCCTATAAAGCGATGACAAATATGGAATGCTGACTTTTGCCATTTGTTCACCTTTTTTCTGTCTAAAACCATATTTTTTAATTTGCATGTGGTATATATTTTTTACAACAAAAATGTTGTAATTTTTTTGAGATGAGAATAAGACTGACAAGCCTGGAAAACCAAAGGAACTGGACCAACCAGTGTCCTGTACCCTCTCAGCGCCCCAAAGCCCCAGAAGCTCTGGCAAGGAATGTGGAGGTGCTAATGCCAGTAGCAAGTTCCCAGAATTACTAATGAATCTCTGGGCTGCTTCAGAGCTCACATTCTGAATTTGGTTTGCACGTGACTCTGGGGTAGGGCTGAATTACACTTCCTGGTGTTCAAACCATTCATAATCAGGCTACCTTTTCTCCCGCCGAAGCTTCCAGGTGAACTTCAATGTCTTTACTTACAACACCTTCTTCCCCAAACAGAATAAAAGTGGAGATACGATACAGAGGCTGTGTTCTCAAATCTACTAGCTGATGTTATCCCTCTTGTCAATTTTAACCTAGGTTTAATCTTAGTTCGTTAACTGCTGGTCACATATTTAATTGGTCCAGATATTGAGCAAAAGATGGCACCATGCAGACACTGCCAGTAGAGAAAGAAAGTTTCTGTTATCTTCTGTAAAGAAGGAGAGCTGGGTGTGGTGGGAAGGACATGAACGACTCACTGACTGAGACAGCAAGATTCAGCTAACACATTCTCAGTTTCCGTGTAGAGACTCTCTTTTTCTCCGTGGGATGGGGCATTTTAAGAATTTTGTTCTTGAAGTGTGAAGACACTCCAGGAAGTCAGTGGAGCTGCGGCCTCATAAGTAGCTAACAGTGTTTTGTTCACCCACTAGTGAAAATCAGGGCAGGAATTTAAACCTTTTCATATGTCCATGCTAAGGATTCTTCTCGTGCTAAGAAAACGTCTCCTGTGCTAGGTATCTGTAGACTGAGACAACTTAGCTTTATTAGTGGTTCCTATAAATGTTCGGTCAACCTATCACATGTTTATTACTTAGGTGTTAGAACTTATGTGGATCCCTTTACATATGAAGATCCTAACCAAGCAGTTAGAGAATTCGCCAAAGAAATCGATGCATCCTGCATTAAGATCGAAAAAGTCATAGGAGTTGGTAAGTGGCTGTGTCTGTCTAATAACCGTGTTTTCGCTGTGGATATTAAATATTTATATGTGATCATGTAAATGTATGAGTATATTATATATACACGTATATATGTAAATGTCAGTGTACATGAAATTCCCTTGATTTATGTAAAACACTAGGATGATGCCTGGCACGTAATAAGCACTCACAAATGTTAGCTATTACTCTTTCATCCTGAATGTGTTTCTGGTCCATAGTCAATTCTCTTTCTCTCCCCAAGGTGAGTTTGGTGAAGTCTGCAGTGGGCGTCTCAAAGTGCCTGGCAAGAGAGAGATCTGTGTGGCCATCAAGACGCTGAAAGCTGGTTATACTGACAAACAGAGGAGAGACTTTCTGAGTGAGGCCAGCATCATGGGACAGTTTGACCACCCGAATATAATTCACTTGGAAGGAGTCGTCACCAAATGTATGTGGGTCACTCCCATTACAAAGCCAAGTTAGAAGTTACTGGCAAATTAAACACACATTTTCTTTCCAGGGAAATGACAGATGGAGCAGACCCACTGATTGCTAATAGGAGGAAGTCAGTTCTGGACAAGTCATTAATCTTGTAGTCAGCTCTGAATGAGTCCGTGGTTTAAGCTGATGCCCTCTTTCTGAGGCATCTTGCGTGAGATTTTAGGAAAATTAACATTTCAGATTTGTGGGATGCCGCGCCATCTTTCAAATCGTTGCTAGACCTAACTGATTGTCACAAAGTAGGCGCAAGCAGATGGTGAGCGAAATAAATTTTAAGTACTTTTCATACAAAACACAACAAAACCTCACCACACCTTGTGCTGGAAGCTTCGGTTCCAGATGCAGATTGGAGATCTTGGGAATCTTTATTATATTGGGGGATGTGCTTGTCTGCTCTGCCTGATTTATGGCTGTTGCAGTTCAGCACCTTTTTACAGTAACACCTGGTTGAACTTTCCTTTTTGAGTCCGTTAGCATTTGCTGAACCTGCGAACCACGCTGCAGTTAAAATACAACACAGCTCAACAGATGTCTTTTGCAAAGCAAACCCCGAATGCATATGTAAGCCTGGCTAAGACTAACTTATAAAGTACCACATGGATAGTACAGCTGAAGTGGTCATTACTGAAAATGGCTCTGTTCCAGGAGCTGTCATACCTACTGCAGTTACTACAAGTCAAGGATCTTGTAAGCCTGGGGCTATGTCTCCAGGAAGGCCAAGGAGCCTCTTATTTGATTCGAGGTGCCAGTGGAAAGCATCCTCAATCAGCATGTGCAGAGTGGCTGCTCCAGTGTGTGAAGAGAAGCAGGGATGGGCAGGTTAAAGAGAAAATTTTGGATATCAGGTCTGGGGCGGAAGGCAAGTAGGACACGAGGGTACAAAATATTTCAGAAGAGAAAATAGAGAACCCTAGGTCGGAGGTCCTCATACTTAAACGTACAGCAGAATTCTGGAAAACTTGCTAAAGTTTTCTGAATTTCACCTTCAGAGGCTTGATTCAGCAGGCGGGGTAAGGTCGAAACGTTTGAATTTTTAAGCTCAGAGGTACCCCAAATTATTTAGCATAATGCTTGCCAAAAAAAAAAAACAACCAACCAACCAACCAACCAAACAACAAAAAAAAACAACTCTTAAGTGTTAACTGGTGTTATTATGTCTTAAGAAGTATATCTTTTCCTATCTTCAGAATCCTTCAAAAAAGAAACTTTGGTGCTAAGGATATGTAATTTTCCACCCAGGGTGAAGGCTATAATTAGCATAGAATAGCTCTATTTGCTTTTTAAGATTAGTTTTACAGACAGGATATTTTTCTGTTGCCTATGGCCTTCGGGGCTGCCCGGAGTCCTTCACTACTTTAATTAAAGATAACATTCCGTTTAAATACTTCTGCAGTTCCAGTTTCTCAAAAGGAGGCTCTGTTCAACTTGGGGTGTTTTTCCTGCTGCAGACAGTGATTTTCACAGCACCTCTGTAGAAGAGAGAAGAAACAGGGGATCTTTGTGTTAAAGTCCCAGCGTGCCTCTAAAACCCATAGCTATTATAGCTGTAACTGTTATAAACGACTGGGTGAATTTGCATAATGCAGTTGTCACTGAATTAAAATGATTTAAATCTTCCACCAGCGGAGCTGTCCCCTTCCCCCATCGTTCGCTCCCCACCGCATCCCTGCCTGTTCCAGAGAAGGCACCGCTTCCCCCACGAGCTCAGCCTGGGTCTGTTCCATAAGCCCCTCTGCTTATGGAGACGCTCACCTTTATTTCTCTTGTAGAGCTCATAAAGATTCTCACAAATGGATATTGTTAATAAACAGAAAAAGGAATGTAGAAAAATCGTGAAGATGACGCCAACCGTCGGACTAGGGAGGAGTGAGGGTGAAAAAAGCTGGAATGGAAGAGTGTGAATTCATTACCGGCAGCTGCTTGAGTAACTTTTTAAATTGACGGGGAGACTATGCATTCTCTCTCCCACCCCGCTGTCTTTCACATCTTCTGCTCTCTCCTCTACATCTCCCCAGGATCTGGTGAAATGGTAGTAGGCGTTAATGCACCGCCAAGAGAGTCCCCCTTTCTCGTTAGTTGACAAAGTATCTTTTGACTGCGGCAGGTTAATTAAAACTCATTTAGATGCATTTGTTCTGTTAGAAGACTGTGGTCACAGATGTGGAGGGTAAATGAATCTAAGAACTAAGAGTGTCTTCCTATTTATGTTGATGGAGGACAGAGAGGTGTTTGGGGACCACTCCTTCCAGCCAAGGGGAAAGGCCGGGAGTGGTTTGACTCATCCTTTGGTCTATACCAAGATTCCTGCATTTTCTGTGGGTTTCCATTCAGCACTTGAAAATCAAATCTCCAGGGTATTGGTTTCAAATGAAAAATTTTTGCTTTGGAAAGATTTCTTAGACTGGAGACCAAGAAACAAAGATGCTTCCTTTTTTCCCCCACACCAGCGTCTATTCCTATAAAGGCTCTGAATGCGAAGTGTATTAGCTTAGAAGAATTTTGAAGGCTTTTTAGCATGACACATCCCAGCCCATTTGCCGTAAGTCCCAACTGTCCACAATCAGCAATGAGAGTGTGAATATTTTTGATTTATCATCAGACTAACATTTTATTTTCCTCCCAGGAAATCTTTTATGTTCTCTTTGCTCTAAGCCTTCCCTTAGGAAAATATTGAGGATTCATGCACCCCCCCACCCCTCCCACAAATCCCCTTTAGAAAGAAAACATTTCAGACCTTGAGTCCATTGCCAGAGATTAAGAATCTAAAGAATGATTCTTACTTCCTAAGGTCCTTAGAAAGAAAACTAATAATAATAATAAAAGTGTTATTTCTCCCTCTTCCCCCAAACTTTAAAATCATTTTTATTTCTTTGCCCCGCAAAAAAGAAGGTGGGAGGGAGCAAGAATGTTCTAGTATTGAATTAAAACTGCTCTCTAGGATGCAATCATTTGGTAAACCTTTTCTGCGATTTTGTTGTTGCTGCTGAGGATGATGGCTTAAGGAAACAAAGGGAATAAGCTTATCCGTAGAAAGGAAAAAGGAAAAGAAAGGCTACAGCCCCTAATCTGAGCGAGATCAGGGGAAAGAAGTTAATACGCTGCATGCTTGAGCTTGAAGATGTGTTCGAGCAAGGAAGTATCCAGCATAGCCACCATGTCCTGAAACTTGACTTTCTCTGAATAAGTAAAAAAGTTTTTCTGTCCATTGATTTCTTTAGCATCGCACACGTGGCTCTTCTGGGGACAAATAAATTAATTATCTTAAAGATTTTTTTTTTTTTACCTTTAAACAGGACTGCCCATTTATCTCCTTCTCCTTTTGCTTGAGAGAGCAATTATCCATTCATGTGTTCCCTGGATACCAGAGGCCACTTTAGTTAAGAACCTTGTCAACAAGTCACCCAAAGGGTTAACTTTCCAGATGGAATTTAAACCTACTTGTCTTTTTAATATTTCATTCCTAGCTCCCCACAGCTGAGGCATAAGCTTGGCTTGTTTTAATTAAATTAGATCGCACAAGACAGGTGTCTTGGCAGTAAAATTGTGCAAAGCCCATTTTGATCTCATTAACTGCAGTGTTCATCAAGGGTTTGTGTTTTTCTTTCTGAAAACTCTAGGTAAACCAGTAATGATTATAACGGAGTACATGGAGAATGGCTCCTTGGATGCATTCCTCAGGGTATGTGACTACTTTATATTAAACCCATGAATTGTGGTATCTGGAAGACTCTAACAGACTCCTTGCACCACTTTGCTTGGTGGTATTCGTGGACTTGTTTTTAACGGGGCGAAGGAAGAAGAGGAGAAATAGAGAATGATGTGACTTTTAAAGACTATTAAATAATCCATGTTCGATGAGAGTTGTATATGATTTATTCTTGTATTGTGGGGCTGTTTGAGCCATAGATTCATTATAGCTGGATAATTTCCATCTAATACAGGAAGCAAACCCAGCTTCTAGGATACACTCACTTTGCTAGTGAATTACTGACTTTGGTTAAAAAGGCCAGGAAATAATGTTGAGTTTGACTGCATACCGGATACAGATATCAAAAGAGATCCAAGTAGTAAATGCTTGGTGAAAATTAATTTGGCCTAATGCTAATGGGATTGTTTCTCACTCTTTTCCCATATAGAAGAATGATGGCAGATTTACGGTCATTCAGTTGGTGGGCATGCTTCGTGGCATTGGGTCTGGGATGAAGTATTTATCTGATATGAGCTATGTGCATCGAGATCTGGCTGCACGAAATATTCTGGTAAATAGCAACTTGGTCTGCAAAGTGTCTGATTTCGGCATGTCCCGAGTGCTCGAGGATGATCCGGAAGCGGCTTATACCACAAGGGTAAGGAGGGTTTGCAGGTACTGGGTTTTAGTTTTGATGAAACTTCCTCGCTTCTCACTTTGATGTTTCAGCTTTTTGTGATTTTACAAGTTTCCTCATCCTTCAGAGCCTCTTTGAAACAGCCTCTGAATGTGTGACCATTTTACAAAGCCACAAAGTAGCGCTTCACTTATTGTATTTTTTTACACTTAATTCTTTCTTCCTTCCTTCCTCCCTCCCTCCCGCCCTCCCTTCTTTTCTCTCTCCTTCCCCTTCCTTTCTTCCTTCCTTCTTGTTTTAGATTTTCTATGTTTTTCTATTATTAAAAAAATTATTTTAAACAAGACAGAACAATGCTTCTGCTTGGTTGGCTACTGACTCTGAGAATATATATACAGTATTTATAAAACATTTACGCTATCTAAGGTTTTCCAGTATCTAATGGCCTTCGTTTTACTACTGGTAGATAAGCCAGGATTAAGGCACAGTTAAGAGTTATCAGTATCCAGTTAATGGCTGTGCTATCTTAGCTGGACCTTCTGAATGTGAGATACTGATGGAATAAACACAGAATCATAAAAGTTATTGGCCATTAGGGCTGACACTGTTAAAATCAACATGAAACAGACAGTTACCAGCCATTTAATGCTCATTTTGCATCTGCAATCTTAAGCGTTGAGGGGATTTTTTTGTTTTTGTTTTTGTTTCTGGTTAGGTTATTATTTTTTTTTCTTATAGTGTTCAGTTTCTTTGACTCTAATTCTGATTCTTACACATATCTTTTTTTGAATTCCAAGTCCATTCATTTAGGAAAGAATACATCTTTGTGAATGCTGAAGATCTTTTATTTTTTCTCAGTAACTGGAGAGAGGAAAGTTAAAGGAGGCTTCTAGAATGTTACATTTACATAGATAAAACCTTAGCTAAACATTTAAAGAAGGCAGAAGGCAGCACAAGTGTCCTTCTGTATGTAATAAGTATAAATGTGATACACTGGGTTTTCAGAGTAAACTGCACTGAATCAGTACAGTTTCTGGTACAATTTATTGTCCTGTTCAGTGTCCTAACAAAACAAAGAAAACTTTTAAATGATGTCCTCTTGAACAGCTTAAGGGTCTGAATTCAAGTTGAATTAATTTCCCCTGATTAATCCCTAGTACATTTGAAACTCGATTAAAAACACCTTGCACATAAAAAGACATTTGAGGAGGAAAAAAAAATTTAAACATCCTGGGTAATAGTCATTTTTGCAGATTTTTAAATAATTAAATGATAACCAAAATCCTGCCCTCACTTTATTGAAGTCAGTAATGGCTCTGGCATCTGGTATTATTTGGCTTCCTCTCATTGCCTATTTTGTATATTATCTTATAGCTGCGTTGGTCATATTTCTCAGGATATCTAAGAGTAGGATGAAGTGTGATGGATAGAAATTTTTGTATTTCACTTTTTAGTTTGTGATTTTAGAAGCAATTTTAAGTATTGCCGTTGTGCTGCTGGCTGAAAGAATTCAACAAGAAGTCAAAAGGCATATCAGCTGCACATCCTTTGATATACCATGGCTAACATGTATTTTGTAAAACCTGAGATTTCTTTTCTTCTGCAATAGTGCCTGAAGCAGAGCTCAGATAATAGTTAGGCTTTTAAAAATTAATTAAAAAGATTACTAGTTCACTTCCCTGTGACTAAAGAAAACATCTGAGGAAAACTGTCTCTACCTGGAAGACTAGTGAAAATAAACAAGTCTCTTATTATTGTTTGGAGAGCTAGCTCAGGAATGCTGTCGTCCTGCCTGGCAAACAGTAACAACATTCAGAAACTAAAATGGCACATCAGTAATGTACTTAGGGAATAACTTATGGCTTGAACATTCGTAGGGTGGCAAGATTCCTATCCGGTGGACTGCGCCAGAAGCCATTGCCTATCGTAAATTCACATCAGCAAGTGATGTATGGAGCTATGGAATCGTTATGTGGGAAGTGATGTCGTATGGAGAGAGACCCTATTGGGATATGTCCAATCAAGACGTGAGTGTTTATGTTCTGAAATATATTTGCATTGAGATTCAGAAAGTTTCTCATTACGGTAAGATGGAGTAAGCATTGAGCTTGAAATGACACATTAAACTCATGATTCTTAATACAAATGTGTCTAGTGATGTAGTTAAACCTTATGGTCGTGGATTTCAAGGACACAAATTACACAGTTTAAATGATATAGTGCGGGAGATAGAGTAGCTCGATAGATGTAGATAGATGCATAGATTAGTGACATGGGATAGTATTTTTAATTCGTTTTAATGAGTTAACTTTTAAACTCATACTGAAACAAAATTAAACTTTGAATTTTAAGAAAATGTGAGGCTCTATGAAAAACACATTTCACATGTGATAAAATCGACATGAAAGGTTTATTGGAAGAAAACTAGTGAATATTTTAAAGCTGACAGAGTTGTAATTAGAGCTTGCCCCTTGAGGACTCTAAAATAAAGCTTCACTAAATGACCCTTTGTAAATTATGCACATCCCTTTAAATGTACCATCTGGACTACTTCGTAAGGGAGTATCCACAATGCCTGCAATTTCAGAGAAGCATTCAATAATGACACTAATAAGATTCCAGAGTAATAGAATTTAATTACAAACATCTCTAGTGAGAAAGGAAAGGAAAGGAGGAAAAAAAAAAAAAAACTAGACCCAGGGGTCTTCCTAGAACCCTTATTAGCTAATTCTCGAAAGGTTTTTGTTAGTTCTGGAAGGGTTGGAAATCAGATCACAGTAAAATGGCCACTCTTTGAACTTTTAAAATGTTTATATGTATGAGGTAGAATATTACCCTAGAGTTATACAAATGCACGGTATTCAGGTATCAATAAAAATGATATTTTAGGAAAAGTCTTCCTTTAAAAACTTCTCTCTGATGCGACATGTTACCTGACCATCAGCTAGATCCTGAAATAGGAAGTCGAAAAGTCTTGACAATTCATCGAAGCAGCGGGTGCACTTAAGAAACAGGATGCTGATTGCCTTATCAATTAAAAAAATGTTCTGAGCGATAGAGAAGCTACTGCACACTGTGTCTAGAGGGGCAAAAAGAATTCCCTGATAGATTTAGAGGAATGGTCAGGGTGACATTGGATTATCTGTAAATCGAAAGGAAACTTTATAGCAGGTGGAAAGAAAGACAGCAGCTAGCATAACTGATAGGTAATTACAGGCTGGAAAAAGACTACATGTGTGACTGGTGCGTAATCTATTCTTTGATGTCATTATGCTACACAAACATCTTCAAGTACTTTTCTTGTAGCAACATTTGGTCTCAAGTTAGAGACTTTCAGAGGGTCAAAGACAAATAACCTAATGATCAAGTAGTGCTTATATTTACTTATTTATTATTTGATATTTAAACTTTCCTTTATTTTAGTTGAGAGTCACAGACAAAAGCTCATCACAGCAAATTATCTCAAGATTTTGTTAGTTTCCCTGACCTAAATGTTTTCAGACCTGTAGTTTTGACAGTTTCTTTGTTATAGTAAAACAATTTTTGTTACTTTAAATTTTAAATTATCTGGCTTTATCCATAAAAAAAGCATCTAAAGCCATTTGGTCTCCCACCAATAATATGGATCTATCATTCCTGTGTATTTGTCTCTGTGTTGGATTCTGTGTAGAGCAGGAATCAATAGAAAATGTAACGGGAGAATTACTTTCATGAGTAGAATTCATTTGGCATATGGTGAATGAGTCAAAGTAACTGTTGAAAATATGTCAGATTTACCAAGTTTTTTGTTGGTTTTAATCCTCTGCCCCCTAAAACATTCAACAGTAAACTGAGAAAATATGTTTTGTTAACCCACAAGCCATCTTCCAAGCTGGCAGTGGATAGAGAGCTAATGAAAGAGTATTAAGTAGTCCGAGGGTTTATAACAAATTGTGTTTCCCTGGCACTAGCTCGATGTTGCTTGCATTCTCATCAATTCAATGCGAAATGTTTTCATCAACTCTAGAGTCAACACCATGTACCTGGAAAGATAAAAGAAAGCGAGAGGACCAAGCTGACCTAATGGAATTGCCAGAAATAAATAGAATAATGTTCAATAAGATAGCATATAGAAGTCGACTTTAGAACTAAATAAATACTAATACGACGAGATGTTGGCAAAAATACGTGGGAGAAAAAGGATCTAAGGGCTTGATAAATCACAAGATGATTGTTAAAGTGCAACAGTGCGCTGGTTAAAGAGACGACGGTCATGCTGGTGCCTAGAAACTGGACTCCGCTGGACTGGACACAGAATATGACCGTGTTCCATTGAAGGCCAAGGGCTGATTAGTAAATAGACTCACCTCAGGGTGAATCCAGTGTGGTCACTGAGATACCTGCAGCCACTGGTTATTTCACTGGCAGTTATCATTTGTGTAAGGGGCGCGGAAAAGAGAGACTGATTTAAAACAAATAAAACTTTTAAAAATTCCCAAATAAAAAGCAAAAGCACCTCCAGAATCCAATAGCATACCCATAAACAAAGTGTATGAGCAGCCAAGAAATTATGAAGTAATTCCCCTCTTTAAATTTGACATGAGTCATACCATATTGCATTACTGGGATTTATGCCATGAAGAAGGGAGGTTTAGAGAAAAGTTAATAAGAAAAATACTGTAATATCTCTGAAGACAGATTAGAAAAATTAGAATTAGAAGAAAGACTTTTGAATGATTTATGTATGTGTTATTAGTCAGGGAGACCACTGTGGGCAGTAAGACAATTACCGTCTACTATTTAAGTTCTTTCCTTAGATATGTAAGGGTCCCCATTAAAATATACATTTTAAGTAAAAAAAAAAAATTTGCTAACAGCTTTTTTTTTTATCTACTCACACCTTTAATGGGGTCAATTGACAGCCAACTGAGACCAAGACAGAGATACAGAATTTGTATACTGTTATATTTTGGTCTTCCAAAAGTAAAAATGTCTTGGCATGGGGTCGAAGATTATGCTATGTCAGAGAGAAGTAGTTAGTGTCTTCTGGATTGGGAGGATGCAAAGGGAATTCCATTTTGGAGGCAACTATTCATGCTTTCTAGTGAAGGTCTTTAACTCTAGGTTAGAGTCTCTTTTGTTAAGAGTGTTTAGCTGATGCCGGATAGCAAAATGAGGCGGGTCATCGCTGTGTGATTTCTGAAGGTCAGGCCAACACCATGTTGTCGATCTGATTGGGTCAATCACTTTGGAACATGGATGCATCTTCACTTTAGAGTTTCAGTTTGGCCTCATCTGCCATTTGAGAACACCTTGTAGCAATGGCTAGCTTGCCTGTCCTGTTGCCAGTGATACTCAGGTCTAGCTTTGGCTTCTGTAAATGAATCGGAGATGCTGCTATGCTCAAGCTTGCTGACAGCTTGCTGTACAGGGTACTTGCCGATCTGGAGGGTGCACCTCTAACAACAGCTTGCCTGGCAGCTTAACATACCATTCTGTTTCCTTTGATAGGTGATTAAAGCGATTGAGGAAGGCTACCGGCTACCCCCTCCAATGGACTGCCCTATTGCGCTCCACCAGCTCATGCTAGACTGCTGGCAGAAGGAGAGAAGTGACAGGCCTAAGTTTGGGCAGATTGTCAACATGTTGGACAAACTCATCCGCAACCCCAACAGCTTGAAGAGGACAGGGACTGAGAACTCCAGGTGAGCCACACCTACTTAACAATGATATACAAAAGAATACATTAAAGATGGCAGGTGAGTGGTGACTCACGTTAATTCCTGCCCTTTACTCAGAGGTCACTTCCCAGCTCTCTGCAACCTGGGTGGTTTCTTTCTCAATTAGTGGAGTATTTATGATAGTTCTAGTCACCATTTGGAAGAGCTAAATACCTGTCTGGCCTCAAATAGCAGTAATAAAAACAATTTTTTTTTAAAAAAAAAGGAACGAAGAAATAACTAAGGTACTCATTTTGGATACTGGACCTGAAAATTTAGGAAGAGGGATGATATGTACTTTTGGAAGACAGTCAGGTTACTATATACTATATTTTGAAAAAGGAAAGGAACATTGGGTTAGTAAAAAATAAAGCTCAGCTCTTTATGCATTGCAATTTTAAGTTGACTTATAAAGTGTTAATGGTAGCAAGAGATTCATTTGGTTTCAGTTCTTAAAGTTTCTCTTTTCTGAGTCTTTCAAGAGTAGAAGGAAACAGGACCAAGACAGAAAGAAACAGGACCAAGTCACAAAGCATGCAGATGAATGTTTAAGAGGGTTTTAAAAATTAAAGTGATTGAGCTACTTGTGAAAGAGGCAGTTATTATTTCACTGGAAAGAGCAAAATTAAGAAATGTATCAGTCCAGAAAGAAGATAAAGATACTGCAAGTTCTATATTTCAATAGGAACTTTTCTGCATGGAGGCTGAGCTTTATTGGTTTGAGGTTCAGGATACCTATATACAAGCTCCATCAGAAAAGATATAGACCGTCCTTAGCAGTTAAATGATTTCAGAAGACGGGCACAATAAGACCGGGTGACTTAGGCCTGCACGAGGCGGGGCATCTACTCATCTCCAAATCTGCCCTGTGTCAAAGGTGTTTCTTTCATCTTGACCCTCACTAAAAACAGGAGGACATTTCCCCTAAGATATCCAAGCCCTTTCCATCTTGGCCAATGCTATGATGTTATCCTCCTGTCTTGCCCTAGAAAACTTAACCTAAAGATCATAGACAAGAAAGACTATACTTATTGTTACAATACATGAAAAAAAGAATTTGGAGCAAATAGCAGCGATGCCTTCTGTTCTCTTTTAGGCTTTCAATTCCCTTAGGATTTGGCCACTGTACAAAGAGCTTACTGATCAAGCTCTTTTGAAACAGCGTCGGGCTGAATTTTGCCATTTGGTACCTATGTGACCTAAAAAGAAAAAAATAAAAATCTAATGTTTCTGGGCCAGGTTTTGTTTTTCTGTTCACTGAGAGGGTTAAAATAGATGACTCTAAGTCCTGCTTTCTGTATAGGCAGCTTCTTCTATTCCAATGTAAAGTTCCAGCTTTTACATCTCCAGCTCCAGATCCCACGTGTTTTGTCTGAGGATCCAAAGGCCAGTTCTTGATGCTTCTCCTGCTAGCTTAAACTATTCAGCTACTAATATCGCATATAATATGTGCTTAGCACCGACGTGCAGAACAAATTGAGTTATTGGATACACTTTTTTCAATTCTAGTTTTTTTCTTTACTGATGGTACTTAAACAGCTTTGATGATTATCACTGCTTGTTGATAATGGGGTGTGACGTAACATGATATGATATGAATTTTGCGACTAAGCACAAAATTCAGCAAATGTCATGGTGTTCCACAAAGAGCTCCAGAACAAGCTTGAGACTATCCCTTAGAGGTAATTGATATGGAGTGAAGATATTTTCATCCTAAGGTCATTTTGACCTTCTCAGGAACATTAATGTTGCCTATTAATGTTCTTGGTTTAAAGTTAAGAAGTAAATGCACACTGTTTGGTCGCTATTTAATAATGAATATTTGAATTGGTAAACGTTCAATACTATTGCTTAATATTTGTTATGTACTCAAAATTGGGAGAGGAATTAAATCTTTAGTATTCTTGCCATAAAAATCTGCAGAATTTTATTTGGAAAATTGGATAAAATTGCAACAATGGACATAAAAGAAAGGTTACAAAGGCAAGGTATTATTTGGGGACAAAACTAATTGATAAAATAAGTCTTTGTTAAAATATTTATATAAAAAAGTAATGCAAATGAAAATAACTCGTAAAAATTAAAGTGAAAAAAATGGAATTGGATTAATTCTGTAGTGTTGAAAATGAATCAAGGCATTATATTGACTTTTGTTTTTACAAGAAAAGAATTGTTTTTTGCTTGAAATTCAGTAGTGATGGTATACTTCTGATTTAAATGTGTGTATTCAAGTAACATAGTTTCAGGATGAAAATCAGGTCAAAATGTTAAGGTAAACCTCACTCCATAATTTCTAAAGAAAAGTAAACTTAAAAAAAAATATAACTTAAGTAGCAGTGATGCTATACAGGTGATTTTAATAAGGGTGACAAAAAATACCCTGTTGATATCTACCTGTGATTATTAGGTATTTTGATGATAAGATGCCTATAATTCTTTTACTAAATATTTTCCATTAATAGGTGATTTATTACTTATCAATATTATGAAGAATGGCAGAATTCCTGCTTTGAACTATCGTCACTCTTAACAATGCCCTAATATAAAACACCTGGCCTGAGAAATGCGTAAACTAATAAATAAGTTAATAAGAAGTGCTCAGATTTTGTTGAAATGATTAGTTAGGAGCCCCAGCAAGGGAATACGAGAAGCACATTCCACAGTCCAAACAGTGATCAAAGTGGCCATTCTTCCTGCCAGTCTTGGCACACGTGCTGGTCAGGCATGGGTTGATTAAAGAGGGGATTAACTCCCTGCTGTCCCAGACTTGTTCGAATGCACTGAGACTGCCTGCAAAGCTGGCTGGAAGCACGCTGGACTTGAACTCTTGCTGCTTTCTCCTTTTCCGTCAAGTCTGGCAGGGTGCAAGCTCACAGTTTTCCTTACTCATACTTCACTAGGGTTTCCATAGTTGCTGAACTAAATTCTGTGCCATTCAGTGCTGGCAGGGACTGGAATCTTTCTGCAAAGACCGAATCAATTTCAGCCACGAGGGCTCCCCCAGTCTTTACCCCAGTCTAGGGTGTTTAAAAGAACTGCTATGATCACTAATGCACTAAGAGGTTCACAAATGCCGGACATGAAATTAAGAACAAACAGGATGACAGATATATGCTTTAGAAGCTTTGCGAAATTAGGGGAGAAAAAAAAATCACATGATGACATTTGATGATGGTTATTCCATCTAAAGCCTGTGCTGGTGTTTCAGTTTCTCTTGCCTGTCTCAGGCGATCTGAGTTCTCTGAGTCTTGCTGTCTCGCTGATAATTCTGTCTACACTTACTTGTTCCATTTCCAGACCCAATACTGCCTTGTTGGATCCAAGCTCCCCTGAATTCTCTGCCGTGGTATCTGTGGGCGACTGGCTTCAGGCCATTAAAATGGACCGGTATAAGGATAATTTCACAGCTGCTGGTTATACCACACTAGAGGCTGTAGTGCACATGAACCAGGAGTAAGTACTCAGCGATGTAACACGAAAGGGTAAATCTAGATTTAATAGTATTTTCCTTTTTTGCTTTGAGCTGCATAATCATCCTACCCATTAAAAAAAAAAAAAAAAAAGCAAACTGGAATGCCTTTCATTTTAATTGAGTATAATTTTACACAGCCTCTATAAAGCACCTACATTGTTGCATTAAATTGCTTAATTAAACATTTTAATACACCTGCCTTGTTGTGCTGTATGAATTGTGGCTGATTCAAACGTGTGTCTGCATGAAGCCCGAGAAAGAGATTCTCAGCTCTCCTAATGTTTTCTCTTTCTCTCTCTTTTTTCCCCCCTTATATACAGTGACCTGGCACGAATCGGCATCACAGCGGTCACACACCAGAATAAGATTTTGAGCAGTGTCCAGGCAATGAGAACCCAAATGCAGCAGATACATGGCAGAATGGTTCCTGTCTGAGCCAGTACTGAATGAACTCAAAACTCTTGAAATTAGTTTACCTCATCCATGCACTTTAATTGAAGAACTGCACTTTTTTTACTTCGTCTTCGCCCTCTGAAATTAAAAAAACAAAAACAAAACATATATATATATATATATCTGCAGCGTTGCTTGGTGTACAGATTGCTGAAACTGTGGAGCTTACAGAAATGACCACTGTCATTCGAATTAAACCTGGAACAAATTGTTTCTCAGAAGTACTCCCATAATCGTCAGTTTGTAAAATACATGTACCTGTATAAATAGGACACCACCTCCGAGTTTTGATGCTGTATTTGCTGCCGGACACTGAGCTTGTCTGAGACATCCTTGATCCTCTCTCCACCTGGAATTACAACCATAGTATTTCGTTTGTGGCATAAATCGCAGTCATCCTTCTTTCGCTGGAATGAAGACCGTGCCCAGAAACGTTTTTGAAGGACTCGGTTGTAGCTTTTAAGGCTTGATTGGTACTGTAGGAAAAAACCTTCAGTGCCGGTGGATTATGATGGCATGAAGGGCTGGAAAAAAAAAGGAAAGTGGATTTAAAATAATGATAATAATAATATTAAAACCCAAACACCATACCCCCTAACTGGACAAATGAAGTCTGTTTCTTTGGGCATGAGGCTGTGCCATGTAAAGGCTTATCTGGAACTCTATGAACTTATCGTCGCTACCTTATGTGGATAGTGGACTCTGACAATCTTGAATAAAGAACTTTTACACTTCTCTGCTTTAAAGAAGCAAACACAAATCTCCAAGGTAAGGCAAAAGAACCAACAATGAATCTTTCTCCAAGGAAAACTTTAAAAAAATTAAAAAAAAAACTGATTATACTTGAAACACTGAGCAGTAAACATTTTTTCATGTCTATCAGGTAGTTTGGGGTTTTTTTCCAAGACTTCAGTCCTCTCTTGACAATTGGGAGTAGAGACCAAAATGAAGATGGCTTCTCTATTGTTCTTCCAGGAAGAAGTGAAGTAAAAACTACACGCAGTGAGGTTTGAGGGCAGGACCACTGCAGCCTGTGCTTTCTCTTACACGAGGTTCCTCTTGCCCTTTGCTGCCTTTCATTCATGACATAGATATTTATTGAACATCTTCTGGGTGCCAGATAGTAAACTTGAGCATCGCTGGGTCATGTACGTGCCCCGTTCCTTGGAGAATTTGCTTTAGTTGAGAAGTACTGGAGGGTCTATTTCATTAGTCTCATTGTATGTCCTGTTCCAAACAGTATCAGCCAGGGAGGATTTACCTAGATATCCATGGTGAGACTTGGAATTCACCTTGACCTTTTCATTATCAAAAAGCAACCTACTAAAAAACAGTGCTTTTTGCCCATTAACCTTAAGATGCTTCTATTGTAATCCTGGAACTCACTTCTTAAAACATGTAAAATAAATGGCTTTGTTCATTTTTAGAAGCCGAGGGCCTAACTTTTTTGACTAGACAAATTTTTAACTTTTTTAACTTTTAAACAACAACTTGGCTGATTTTAATGACCTTCTCTCCCTCTCGCCCCTTTGGTTTTATCCTGAAAGCTGTTTCATATAAAGCAAGGAATGTTAAATGCGATGCTGTCAAATCATGACAGTTTAGTAAAAACCTTTTGCAACATTAGCTATAAAAGCTTTTCTGTTTAGAAAGAATGTGAAATTTGTATTTTAAACTGCTCCAACAATTTTTGTTTTGTCACCACTTTTGCTAAAGTCTAAGAGCTCTAGATATTCATGTTAAAAGATGATAAATGTAGGTTATTTTCATGTGTTTTTTTTTTTTTTATTTTATTTTGCTTGATGCTTGTGTTTAAAAAAAGTTTATAATTTCTTTTTCTTTCAGCAAAGCTGTGGAGAATTTTATTTCCAATCTCCACAGACTAATTCAAATAAGATAACATTATGACATGGCCTTATAAGTAAAAAGAGAATGTTACCTCACGTGCATTGAATAATGAAAAGTTTTGCTTTCTTAAAGTCAACAACTGAAAATGTGAGGTATTTTTCTAAACATCGAATATATTCACTGTAGAACATTTCAAAAGAGATTATGTCAAATCTAAGATATCCTAAACAAGCTAATGCTGTGTACTACGCTGTTACTTCTCAGCAGGTATCTCTGTAAATGAAATAATCAGGCAAGGGTTGAAAGGTGGTGGAATATGAAACCTTCATTCAAGGGTTGATCTGAATCTTAGTTTTTACACATTCATGAGTTAGAGTGCAGGCCAATGGAAAAGCCAAAAACAAACAAACAAACAAAGACTTTCCAAATGTCTAAAATAATATCTAGTAGCAGTAAGAGTGTTAACTCCACTGCTTCCGTGAAGTTAGATATTTTAGAAGAGCCAGGTGCGTACAATGGGAATCCTGCATCGTTTCCTAGGGCGTGGCCCAGACGTAGCATCCGGGCAGCTATGGCTTCTAAAGCCAACTGAGATGTTGACACTGGGAAGTTCACCTCATTTTTTTTTTTTTTAAATAACTCCATTTTTCCAACTGTAAATAATAATACTGTGATGACAATGCCTTTCCTAACACATGGCGTAAGTGTATGTGAAACGCTCTTATATAGGACACACTGAACATCCCATAAGAGACATGTATTCTTCCTCCAAGGTTTCCCAAATATTATTCATCCAGCTTTCAGTCGTGAATCCAAATGTTTTATTGCAACATGTAAAAGTGAAGCGAAATGAAGTTCGATGGTAGGGAGCCGTGCCGGTGAAACTTCTTTACTTTATATGAATTTATGAGGATTTGGGGGTAATGAGTATCTGTACAAACAGGGGTAGAACTATCAAAATACTCCTATATTATTTAGCCCTGAAATTCATGAAATAGTTATTTTATAATTGGGAAGAGTGAAATGCACTAGTAAGACACCATTGCAATGAAAGGACACTTTGATGTCTTCATGACGGACTCAAAGGAACAATGCTTTGTTTATTTAATCGTGATGAAAGTCACATTTTTTACCGATGAGCCCACATAGACCCCATGCTTTGTCTGTTCTATGTTCCAGTAATTCCCCATGATAAAGGAGTTGCCTGAATTCAAAGGAGAAAAGAAGGTTTATTTTTCTTCACTCTTATTCTGATATCTTCACATTCCCACACTT